AAAAATAGGTCTCAATATGAGACTAAAACACCGGAGCATAACTTTTCGGTTGGAAATTGATTTGTGATCATCTTTTGACTAAATTTGATCCCCTTGACATATTCCTTTATCTAATTGACTCCGAGCACTCTCAAATCTTCATCGTGAGATTCGACACAACTTTTAAGTACTTACATTTTAGCCCTCGAACTTTGGATCCCTTACAATTTAGCCATTTCTCCAAATTTGTCTACTTTTGCTTATTTTCTTCAATCTCACCAACCTATATCACAATATCAAAATCACACATCTAATTATTTATCAATTACATAAACATTACATCATTAATTATTTATAGGGTGTCTGTTTCTGCTTTTCAGCAGAAATCAAGCCGTTGGCAACACAATTCATGCAGTTAGGAGCCGCAATTTTGGACAAATTCTCTCACTGTAGGGCTGTAGGTTTGAAAAAAAACGGTAACATAATCAATTTTTCTTCCTCCTTGCAGCGCACCCAAACACGCCCTTAATTAACCAAAAAAAATTACATTTTTATTAATAACAAATTATATATTAAACAAAAATATTAAATATAAACTAATCAAACGTGCATTTGCTCGTTGATTGCAATTAGTTCTTATATATGTACACAATATTTGTGAAGTACAATTAACTAGCGACGTGTTCATCCACTGAAAACGAATTTACTGTGGATTCACCCCGTTATTCCAAAATCCATCGAATTAGATCGTTACATATGGCAATTCAAGCTTAGAATCCACGTCTCCTTCTCTGTTTTTCTGCGACTTTCTTGCAAAAATTCTTGAAATTTTAGATTTCTTCAACTGACTGAGTTAAATTCAATTGAATTCCACAAAAAGGTCGAAACGATGTCATATGAGGAGGACGAGGAGACTTTCGAGCATACCCTGTTGGTAGTTCGGGAAGTATCCGTTTTCAAAATCCCGCCCCGATCCACGAGCGGCGGGTACAAATGCGGCGAGTGGTTACAGTCCGACAAGATCTGGACGGGTCGGCTCCGGGTGGTGTCGTGCAAGACCCGCTGCGAGATACGCCTCGAGGATCCGAATTCCGGCGAGCTGTTCGCTGCCTGTTTCGTGAATCCGGGTCAAAGAGAGAGCTCCGTTGAATCGGTATTGGACTCTTCGAGATACTTCGTGTTGAAGATCGAGGATGGGCAAGGGAAGCACGCATTCGTAGGATTAGGGTTTAACGAGAGAAATGAAGCGTTCGATTTCAATGTCGCTCTTTCGGATCATGAGAAGTATGTGAAGAGAGAGGGCGACAAGGATGTTGGTGTCAATGGTGGTGGTGAGGGGGCTAATGAGGAGAATCATATTGATATTCATCCTGCTGTTAATCATAGATTGAAGGTAATTTCTTAACTTTTCTTGAACTTCTGGAGTTTTGTGTAACGCTTAAATATGATTAGAGGATTAAGTTAGAAATATTAAATCTTGGAAGTAATTATTGGAACTGCTTAATGTTGATAATTCTTTGAGTTTGATGTGACTATTTTAATAGTTGAGATAATAGTAGAACTGACAAACAGTTTCCGATTTAGTTTTCCTGGTTTTAGAAGGAAAAAAGGATAACGGCATTGATAAATGCGTGACCTACAGTTCTTATATGCGTGTAAGTTTTGATTGTTTGATCTGTAGGAAGGGGAAACTATTCGGATAAATGTGAAGAATAAAGTATCTGGCGGAACGGGCATGCTTTCAGCTGCAGGGTTATCTAGCGGGCCTTCTGGAACTGGGAAATCTAAAACCCTTAGCCTTGCACCACCACCTAGTGGGGGAGGGAAGATTAGGTCTCCTCTTCCGCCCCCACCCAACGATCCTGCTGCGGCTAGGATTAATTCTCCTGGCCATGACACTGCTGTGAAGGGATCCAAGGAAACTGTGAAGCAGTCAAATGATCCTTTATCTGATCTCTCTCAACTCGAGGTATGTCTTCATTTTCTCCTCTCTAAGCGGCTTCATCGATGTGCATATTTTGGAATTGGCAAATATAATATAAGTGGCAAAACTCTGAACTTAATGTTCCGAACTTCTTGTTTTATGCTTCCTTGGATATTATATATGATGGCTAAATTTTATTTATTTTCAAATAGTTTTTGAAAATTGAGATGGATGGGTGACGCTGTTATATTTTCTCTCTTCCACACCTCTTTCCAGTTGGTGATAAATTATATTAATTATTAGATCTGATGGTGCATTTTGGCAATTATTAGACTTGAAAACTAAGTCCCCAAACCTCAATGTGTTCTCTTTGCCACTGGCGCAGTCACGTATTCCTTGGTAGTAGAACTTGTATCAATTCTGGTTTTACTACGTTGAGATGGACTAAAAACTTTTTAGGGACTAAATCCTGATGAAATTTTTTGGAATTGGATTGTATTTTCATGCAAAAATTTTCTTTACCAGTTGATGGAATTTCATTATTCTGCTATAATTCAACACTTGATGCTGGAATCACCAACCTATTTTGCAATTTATGTTTTACTCAATGCTAGTTCTTAGAAAGTTATAAATGGTGCTGATAATCTCTAAACTCTACTGTTAATAGATGAATAACATCACAGGGAGCCTCAAAGAGAGGGAGAGGGATTTGATAAGGGTGGTCATTACAGCTTTTTGATATCAAGCTGTCATTTGTTGGTGTCATTTTCTGTTCTATACACAAATGGCAGATAATTATGTTTATGTATAGATAAATGAAGAAAATTAGAAGTCTAACTTGCAATGTCAACAAGTTCTCAAATTCGATTCACATAACAAAATTAGAAATTACTATTATGAGGAAGAACAACCTAGAAGTCTCCCGTATCATCACTAGATTCACTACTACTGGAATCTTTATCTGATTCCCCTATTATATTCCCAATCGCTATCAGTTTCTCTCATTCTTCCTCACCATCCTCCACTTACAATAGTTCCTTCTCCTTAGATGCAGGAAAAAGTCGAAAAAAATTGTTCTTGGCTATAAAATATAGCACAAAAAGTTAAGGAAAACAATAAAAAGTTAGAAGGATGCTGAGGCATGGGTCTTTAAAATGGCACTCAAGCTGTAAGTTTCAAGGTATATAATGAAAACCTCGTGTGAGGTGTAAGCCTCAAATAGCTTTTTTACACTCTGTTCAACATAAGGACAATAATTATTTTCAATTTTGTACATTACAATAATTTTTTGGAGACAAACTCTTGCTCTAAATACTCTCTCATGAATTTTATGACATTATCTTTTGAAAGCTGACTGGATATGATGTCCACATTTTTAAAGTTCACTCCCCAGTTCCCTGAAATAAACTCTTCCACCTTAACTTCCCAAATTACTGCTCTCTTACCCTAGAATCATCGACAAAAAAACCATTTTCTCCCTTTCTTGACTTCTGTATCTTCTCTCTCTTTTTCTCTATTTCTGACTCTTTTCAGCTTACTGCCAACTGATACACCAAAGAACACTGCCGCAGATCTCCTGGGCCATCACTGACATAGTTCCCTCCTCCTATCTCCACCTGCTCTTCCTCAATGAAAGTCCCTGTTAACAGAGTTGCACAAGTAGGAAGAAACTATTTCACCTCTCGGATTGGTTGCTTCTCTCTCATCTTACTTAATTCTGGCTGCAATTCGTAGGATTTTTTCATATTGCTATTAGTTATCTTTTAGATTTTGCAGAGATGGTAACAATGGTGATGAAGATGTACTTGTGGAGCTGAGGATTGTGGATGGTGGTGGGTTTTCTGGCTATTACGAGTTTAGATTTTCCTGCAATCGAGATTATGTTTTCTGTTGGTTGATGAAGTTATATTGAAGTTTCGGTTATTATTATTTGGACTTTACTGGTGCAATAGCAGTGGCCTGAGGGCAGTGGCAACAATCTGTGGGTTAGGGAGCTGGGATGGTCTCCAAGTGATTTTGTGAAATGGAATAGCAAATAGAGAAAGGAATATGTTGGGGTTGAAAGAAAGGTGGGACCTAGTTGATTTAAATGCAAAATTGGAAATTTACTAGGATCGAAGTTTTCTTCAATCTATCAAAACCAGGATATTCAAGTGAAGATGGAAGGTGTAGATATTTCTTTGGATGCTCCCCCACCCTTTGCTCCAAATTTGACTTTATTGCATCTCCCTTCATGTGCCTTAAAAAAGAACTGAAATACTTCTCCATTACATGTCCAAAACTAGCTTAGCCTCCGTTTGGGAAGAATTTATAAGCAGTTTATAAATAAATAGAAATGAGCGGTGGATAATTGAATAATATTTGTGGGTCTTTGAAAAAGAAGTTTGACCATCTATCAATGTAGCATAATGCCCTACGTACAGGGGGATTTTTCACAGAATACTTACAGGCCACTCACATGTGTCGTGGCACCCACATGTATTAAAAAAAAAAAAAAAATTTAGCGCGGGCCCCACCTATGTGTCTTGCCTGGCAGTATTCTGTGAAAATTTGCCCTGTACTTCAATCACTGTCCATCAATGTAAGTCATTTGTAAATTAAGCCAAATGGAGGTTTAGACATCACTATCTAATGAGTGACAGAATTTGGGACCAAGTAGTCTCTTGGTGTTCCTAGTAGACCTCCCAAGTTCTGAGTGGCCTTTTAGAACATCGTGCAGTTTTTACGAAATGTAAAGAGTTAAGCTACAAGTAAGTTTACCTGTAAGTGAATAAGTATTAAAACACATAATTTTATTGTTGGTCAAAGTTGAAAATAAGTAAAGTACAAAGTGACCCTTAAAACAACATTATTCAGCACCCTGAACAGACACCTTAAGAAAATTACAAAACTTAGATCCCCGTCTGACAGGCATCAAAAATGGAAATTACAAGAATACTCCTTAGCATGAAATATTTAGAAAAACAAAATAGACATTAGAATGGAACCACATGGAACAACGCCCTACTAAGTTAGATTAGACAATATTGGACATTATTAAACAAGAAAAAGAAGTTAGAAATTTTTTATTGTACTGTCAAGTATGATTAATACTGTACACCAAGCATCACTTGATAGATAGTTTCCTAAGATGGTTCTTTCACATCAAGTGGGTCCATGGCTGGAAAGGACACAAAAAAGGTGTAATTTGACACAAAGAATGCATTTTTTTGTAGAAAAATGGTTACCAAACGAATGCTTAATGTGCAATTATTAGTTATAAGATGCAAGCGGTCCTTGCACTTTTAAGCTAACAAATTATTAACGGTGTCTTTCGTGTTGGCTTCTGCAGAGGAACCTTCCCGCCAGTGCTGGATCAGGGTCAGCTAAAACCTCTGCAGCCGGCTGGGCAGCATTTTGATAATGTGGTTGGTACTTTTGTTGGTTGTTGTATTAAGAAAGATGAGAGAATGAGAGTAAATGTTATGTCAAAAAAAATTTATCGATCAGAAATTGTTAATATGCGAGTTTGACATGGGGTTTTGCCATAATTTGAGATAAAGAATTGGTTTGTCCATGAACTTAATAGAAATCTTTCGAACGGTTTATTCACTAACATCAATTCCGTTCACAAAAAACTATTGACGATAAAATTGGCTAATTTAATAGATGATTTTTATGAATGTGAACTAAATATCGTAAGTAAATTGCTACCGATTGTTCAATCGTTTTATAATCAAAGTCATTATTTGATAAATGATTGCTATGAGTTAGATTCAAATCAATCTTTTTTCTTTTGTATATAAACCTTTAGGTAAGACAATACATGTTAATTGTCCCGAGTCTTCCATTCCCAAACCTTTAAAATGTCTTCGTCAAAGGTCATCTTATTAGGGAAATCATAATTTGAAGGCTAAGGTCAAAAAATAAAGTAGGAAAAATTATAACAAAAATACGTAAATAAAAAATAACCCCCCCCCCCCTTGGTCACAACCAATTTCGAATTTTCTAACAGTTCAGCATCTGATCATCCTTGTGTTTTCTTGTAGTTCAATCAAAAAATTTGTGCTTACTAGGGAACAACGGAAGAAATTAGCAGCTTTGGAGATTGAACTTGCTACAGCCACACAAGAGGTCTTAAACAAAACTATTAAATATAAACTAAGCAAACGTGCATTGCACGTTGCTCACACCTAGTACTACTATAATATATGTAACAAAATGAAGAAATAATCAATTTACGCTACGAAGAAATCTTGATAGATTTGGTACTTTATATTTTTATATATAAATGTTGTTTACATGATTAAATTATTTTTAAAAACATCATCTTCTTAGTATGAAAGCACACTGATTTCTATCTATATTTCTTGGAAGCACATTATTCTAATATTAAACGAAGAAAAACTTTCACGAAAAGACAAAGTCGACAGAGTAAAAGTTGAATTTAAGATAGACAGGAGAAAATGAAATATATCAAATTTTATACGTGACTTTTGACTTTAAAATTATCTTCCAGGTCCCAGGATGTGAATATGACCTATTGTGAATGGAGATTGGAGAGCATTGATTACTTGAAAAGTTGGTGATAGGAACCGATTTATCAGTGCCCAAAGGAGCCTATTTTGACCAATTTTCAAGTAGAATTGGTCAATACATCCACCGGAGGAAACTTGAAGTGTAGGGACGTGCGATGTAGATGTAAATGGAACGGAAATATTTGTTGTCCAATTTAATTTAGATAGAAATCAGATTTTTACTAAATTTTAAGATAATTGCGACTACGATTCAAAACCTTTCAAATTTTTGCAATTTTTACTTTTTATTATAACCTTTTATTTGTTGCATTGGTTTCTCGAACCTTTCGTTTCCTTTTCACATAAGAATGTATGAACTTTTCATTCATCTCTTCGGTAGTTGATCGGGACAAATGAAATTGACCACATTTTGAACAAGTTTAAAAAAGAGCAAAATGGTAATTTAACATTTTTCAATATAATAATTGAAATAATTAAATAAAAAACCAAAACAAAAAAAAAAGGGATAAGGGAAAACAATTACTCTTCATCAGCCGACTCCCATCCCGACCCTACCAAAAACTTGGCCTTTGCCATCGTTGCCTGACCTCCACCATGGTTTTCAAAAATCTCTAGGATTTTAGCCCTCATCAGAGGCGAAAAAACTCCTTGGTCCAATCTTATAACTGCAACAATATTCCCTCCTTGGTCCAATCTTATAACTTATAATCTTAGTAATTTCCATGTCATAACCGCAATAATATCGTTCAAGCCACTTCTATCCACTCTCAAACTATATTCCACTAGCATAATTATACAGAATATACAAAAACCACTTCAAATCTCCCGCTTTTAAGTCAAAATTACTTGTATCAATGGTTTTTTTTTCCTACTGGACAAGCATTTGTTCGATGTGCTCTTCATGACAAAATCTTCAATATCACTTCCTTTATAAATAACGTCTCTTCACCCCCAAAATAATGAAAAATGAGTACAGCTAAGTACATGATCAGTTTCACCACCACCACTAATGTTGGCGGTGAAATTTGAACAATATAGGATGGCGGATGAGAATGGGTGATGGCGGAGGATTTTGATGTGGGGGGTATGAAACGGAAGTGGTGGAGAATTGGGACGGAGATCGGTAGTGGCGGAAGTGGACTAGTGGTACTACGATGGATGTGAGATTTTTTATGGCTTTCTATTCAATCTTTCCGTCAACAAACATAATCCCTTCGTCCAATTTATATACGCTTATTTTATTTTTCACACGAAATCTTATTTAGGGTGTGTTTGAACCACATCAAAGGGGCGGGCCCCACGTGTGTTTAAAAATAAATAAATAATGCAAACCCCACCTGTGTGTTGTCCGGCAGAGACAGCATGTACACCTAGCAAGATTCTTGTTTGAAAGGCTTAGAACTCCACGTGTTAAAAATAAAATAAAAAATCAAGATCCTATCATCACAACATTCAAAAGTTCGAGACCTCACGTACAATTTACACTAAAAATTTAAAAGTTAAAAGACCATTTTCGAGCACGCATGTCTGTAATTTTAAGAATGGACAAGATTTTTAACCTTCCATAATTTTCATTGTTGCCCGTATAAACATGGCCGTTGGTCCATGTGTATATAAATCGAATGCACAGCTCAGTCACAGTATCACCTTGGATCATAATAGAAATTTGCCCTCTCCAATCATTCATATAATCCATTTTTCATCACTAATGACCAACAACTCCATATAGTGATGTTAAATGATAGTATATTGCCCCTATAATAGAAGATTTCCTTTTCTCAATTTTCAAAATTCTACACAAAATATTCATCTTATATGATATTAGATGCAACAAACTTGAAAGGAAGAATCTCAAAATAAATTCATAAAGTTATACTTATGAATTTTTGTATGTATAAGAAGACACATAACCACAACTGGGAAAAACATACCCATACACAGATCGTTGAGTTGAGGGTTGAACTGACCCAATGCTTCTATGTCAAAAAGGGTAAAATACACAGTTCAAAGACCACTCTTGATCTTGCCCTTCAAACAAAGTCATGGTACCACAATTTGCAAGAGAAGGAAATACCATTTGCGCTTCAGAGGTGATTGCTCAACATTATCAATATCTTCAATATTTTACTGAAGACACTGGCAGAAACACGAATCGAATAATTGCAAAATGCAAGGGGTTTCTCGTATATATCAAACTTGTATGTAGCACACCTCAGGAAAAGGTTTTCAACTATTCTAAATCTTCTCAAAAAACAAACACTAATCAATAATGTACGGAAAGCATGCAAAATTTACTCTGTACAGCACACCGTCTGGTTAAGCAATAGTTGTGAAAAATAATTACTACAGCACTTCATGTTCTACAATTAGAGAGGGGAAAAAAATTCTTACTTGAATGTTTACTGCTCCTTGTACTCCGGCTTCAGAACCCAAAAGGACCCGTTAGGGTTTTTCTTTAAAATAGCTATCTCCTTTAAAAGATTCTTAAACAGTGGCAGATATTTTGATGGTATCCTGTCTTTGAAATGCTCGACAATGCTGACTGAATCTGTGCTTCCACCTTTCCGTTGGATAAATGTACAAATTTGACGAATCAAAACTTCTGGCTGCGATCCGAAGGTGTTCGATGATCTAGAAGGCCCATTACTTGTAGATCTTTCACGGCCACCAGAAGTTGAAGGCATGCCAAACTGATGCTCAAGCCCATCACTAATGGCTGTTTCTTGGTTTCCTCTAATCTTAGCCAGTAACTCGGCTGAGGACAATGCTTTACCTGATGATGCCCCAGCAGTAATCTGATATTGCCTGCTGGCTTCATTATTTGGTACGTCTTCCAATGGCCTTGAATTGGTTAATAATTGGGAATTAACAGTTGACCCAAATTTTCTTCTGACAGATGATGGTGCACCAGCAGCACCCGATTTTCCGGTCCAGGTTGGAACAGTTATACTTTCTTGGTTTCTAAGTATTCGTGAATGGCGCAGTGCTTCAGCAGCTCTCTGTGCAACTTGGGAAGCTTCTTCCTCAAGCTTTGTCTTGTCTTCATCATGAGCATTCAAGATAGCGTCATGGTTCACAGCACTCTGGATAAGAAAAACACGACCATAGAAGAGAAGTCACATATGCATCCCGTGGAGGCAGGGAACAAAAAGAAGAGTAATAAGCAAAAGTATTCATATAACCAGCAATGGTTTGTAGTGACTTCTTTATTCTGTAAGAATAATCTTGGAATATATATAGAAAGGAGAGGAAATGGAAGGGATAAAACACGAAAGTGAGAAAGAAAGTTATCTCTTGCCAAGAGAAAAGGAAAAACAATTTATTTCAAACAGATGCTCATTTTTAGGTCTAGTGACCAGTAAGACAATTAATCTTACATTAGAGAAATTCTATGTGCCTCAACTCCTTATAGTTTTCATGACATACAAAAGGCATTAAACAAATGTAAAAAACCCGAGAACATATAGTGTAGTTATCACTTATCAGTACCAGCAAGCTAAGAATATCGTTTTATGCCCATTTTGCTACCAAGCAAGCCAACTAAAACGGGATTCCACAAAAAAACTTGCTACAACATTTATATTCAAAGAAAATAAATGACAAAGCAATTAGGAAAGTACGTGAATCCCATGAGCATCAAAAAGACTCTGCAGAAAGCTTGTATCTTCATCTACATCACCAGGACTGGCTGTTTCTTCACCATTAGCCTCTGAATTATGTCCCAAGTCAGTTGCGGAACCATTGGGATCCGATTTGGAGGCTTTCTCAGAATCTGGCTTATCCTGTTTATTTTTATGGGCCCCTACAACATCTACTTCTTCCAACAATTGACCAAAAATACTAGATGTTTCTGTAGAGAGACCATTTTCATCCTCATTTAACGTGAAAAGATCCTTCATATCACGAGCTTTGAAAAATCTTCTCTGTCGTGGATTCTTCAATATTTTATTGGTAAGGAAATGTTTGTAGATCTGCCTGTGATACACCTTCTCTTCAATTGTTCCACGAGTAATCAATCTATAAACTGTAACGTCCTTTCTTTGACCAATACGCCAAGCACGCTCCCGGGCCTGTCTTAAACAACTGCTATTATAAGCAATGTAGTATCATAATAACTTAATAAGGGTATCACCGGATAAAAGCATTTGAATACAGCTCAACAAATTCAGTGGCAAAAAGTCATGTCACAAGTGAAAGATAATTCCATCCCATCCCGAACCCAAAGAAGAAGGTAAGAGAGAAGGAACAGCTACAGTTTTTTGTAAAATTTACAAAAATTGGATGATGTTATTTAAGTCTCAAAGTTCTAAACTCTCATGATAAGCAATTGAAATTCATGTGGAGAAATTTGTTAACAAAATAAACAATCAAACAAAACAGACCTGCATATCAGTTGAGGGGTTCCAGTCAGGGTCAAAAATGATCACCCTGTTGGCACCAGTCAAATTTGTTCCCAGGCCACCAACCTTGGTCGTCAAAATAAAAATGAACACATCCGCAGAATTGTTAAATTCATCTATCAGAGCCATTCTCTGTTTTACAGGAGTAAGACCATCCATTCGCCTGTAATTATAGCCACCAGCAATCAAAAAATTCTCAAGAATATCAAGCATCTGTTGAGTTTGTGAAAAAAGAAGAACACGGTGTCCCTGCTCATTCCACACCTTAAGCACTTGAGCAACAACTTTCATTTTTCCACTACGTTCAGGATTTCCGTAGTCTGGATTCCCTTGAGAATGTTCTCTCTCAAGTAGATCGGGATGGTTGCAAATCTTACGCATCACATCAATTCCATACAGAGAGTTCCTGTTTCCATCAAAAATTTGTTCAACCTCGGAGCTAGCAAGAAAAGCACGATATACAGATCGCTGCCCTGGAGTGAGACTGCAAAAGAGGACATGTTCAGTCTTCTTTGGAAGATGAGCATTCACATCAGCCTTCATCCGCCGGAGAAGGTAAGGCATGATCAAGTCACGTAGAACAACAGCACATCTGCAAAAATCTGGATTTAGTAAGGGAAAAACAGTTAAGGACAAAATAATCTTAATGACACACTTTCAAGAATAATAACTTCCACTATGACAATAACCGAAGAAGACTTTTTTCGAAGTGCATGAAGTAGGAATGGAATATCACATGCAAAATCCTTGGGTTGCTAAAGCAGGCTTCTTTTCATCTTCATTAACTTTCAACTCTTTATGTTCCCATTTCAAGTTCGTCTTTTCTATTTTTGCTTTATTTTCTGTACCTAGAACTTATCATTAGCAATGTAGCCCCCGTTTGGGCCACCTTTTTATCTCATTAAAATGAAAAATATGACCGTTATCCATCACATCAACATTTAAATTCAAATTTTCTATCTCTTGTGTGGGCCCCAATAACGGCTATATTTTTCATTCTCATTCTACAAAAAGATGGCTTTCTTAAAATGAAAAATATGACCGTTATCCATCACATCAACATTTAAATTAAAATTTTCTACCTCTTGTGTGGGCCCCAATAACGGCTATATTTTTCATTCTCATTCTACAATAAGATGGCTCAAACAGGGCCTTAATAATGGAACAATATAATGCAAACGCTGAAGGAGATTGAACTGGGCAGAATACTCTCTCTCCCTCCCCCCAACTTGACTTCCACATAATTTTTGTATATTCAGGAAACAAATGAGATTTTCTAAAACATCAACGTTCACACCTGTAAGCAGTGGAAACTTGCAAAGGAGTTGCATTAGCATAACCACCAACAGATATGGGAACAGCAAATTCAGCCTCAAAAATGGGTAAAACACCAAGCTTTCCAGGGAAGACAAAATCAAACAAGGACCACAATTCAGACAGTTTGTTCTGAATAGGTGCACCCGTCATTATCACACGATGAACAGTCTGCAACTGTTTGCAAACAAGAGTGATTTCAGCATTTGGATTTCGAATCCGATGTCCTTCATCTAAAATGGCATATCCCCATTCGATATCAAGCAATTTATCACCTATTAAACGAAGTTGTTCATAAGTTGTGATCAGCAGACCAGATTCTGATGTCAAAACACGATATATCAGAGCATCCCATCTTTTGGTACTTTTAGAAGGTAATTTTCCTTCACTATCACTGTCAAGCAATTCATCACTTTCATTATCGCTTTCATTTGATTTTGATCTCTTTTTCCTAGTGGTCATTTCCTGAGCAGAGTCATGTAATATCTCCACATGAAATCTTGGATACCATTTCATAGCTTCTCTCTTCCACTGCTGCAAGAGGGTAACAGGACAAATAACAATGCTTGGTTTGTACATACTACTGAAATGCAATGATCCAAGGAAAGCTAAAACCTGGATGGTTTTACCAAGACCCATTTCATCTCCAATTATTCCTCCTGCTCTTTGACAATGTAGTTCCCATAACCACTGTACACCAACCTTCTGATAGTCAAAAAGCTTGGTAAAAATTGTTTCTGGGATTCTCAGTCCCCCTTCAAGCGTCACAAATGAAGGTCCTTCATCTTCCACGTCTTCAATATCTTCCAAATCGTCTTCTTCATAACTAGAGGTTTTTGCATCTTCATATAATAACAAGCTTAGTACTGCAAACTAATTTTTTTGGGGGAAAAAATACAATAATAGGAGAAATAGAAGGCCAAAACAAATAGAAATATTCCGATAAATCTTTGAAAATTCAAACATATAAAGGCCAGCAAAAGAATGTGTGTTAAAGAAATCAGGGCCAAATTTCCCGTGGTTTTAATTTTTCAAATCCCAGCTGCAACTGGTAGGTGTTGACATAACCTTGCATCATCCTTGGGTTTTCAAGTGCTATGAGTAGCATATTCGTAAAGGTGTGCAACGACAAAGTATACTGAAATCAACATAAATCTTTTATTCTGTCTTTCCAAGAATTTAAGCAGGCTACAGAAAACAAAATTGCAAATGCTTAACAGCATTGACATACCAGCTTCTTCGTTTTCCTCTCGAGAGGCTAGCCTCCGCCACTTCTTTGATGGCAATGGTCTTTTCTTCTTTCTTTTGCTGTCTTTATCCTTCACTGTCTCAGTTTCAAGGGACTGAGAGATCTTCAAGGGAGCTTTTAGCCTTTGGAAAGGATGGGTGGGAGCCTCAAGCTTTGGCACTGATTCTGGGTCAAGCAACTTAGTTGTGGGGCGAGCTTGTGCAGCCTCTGACATTGACTGAAGAGCTCTACCTATGCTAGATGAAGCAAGACTGTTATTATTTTTTACATCTTCGGCTACTCTGTGCCTATTGGATGGTTCTGGCTCCTCTATACGGCGTTCAAAGCCTTGAAGCTTGTGAAACGGAGTTAAAACTCCTTTCCGAACTAACTCATCCCTTTCCTAAGAGAAATAATGTACCATTAGCCCTGATATCCGACTTCCCGATTAAGCTACACTAATAACAATATAAGTATCACACAGATATGTTTATGCAAAGTAGTAATAAATAAAATTACTCACTGTTTCCACAAACCCTGTAGAGGCCACATTTAGAACAGCATCAAAATCATCATCTTCAATGAATGAAACTGTTTTCACCCTTTTGTTCTTGTTCTTTTTCGTGCTTGTTTTCTGAATCTCTTTCAACTTTCGTTTGGTTTTAGGCTCTTCCTTGACGAGATCTCTTAACAACTTGTTATCCTTAATGTCATTGGAAGAATCCAAAATTTCTTTCTCAAGTTGAGCCTTTGTATTTATCAGGCTTCTTAATCGATCTGCAGCAAGAGCATGCTGAAGGGTCACATCATTTGGAGATGCCCAAAGATTATCTTTTTCAATATCTGCAGCTTCCTGCTCCCTTTCATCGTCACCTTCAGAAAAAATATCATCATGTCTTTTGAAGCTCTCCAATTGTTTAACAGCAGATGTAACAGCATCTATTTCAATTTCAACAGCTCTCAATTTGTTGTTCAAATTTTCATGAACAGTAGATAGCGTTTTGTTGCTTTTGGTTTGATTGTGAAGCACCTCATCTCCATCCCTTCCAGCTTCACTACTGTCTTCAGCATTTTTTCCTGCCTGTCAATAGATAAGCTACCATCAAATTAACTTTTACACAAACCACCAAGCATGCAAACTTCGTGCATAACTTTAAACACGTGAGAAAGGTCTACTCGGACATTCTCATACAAAGTGACTGAAATATAGTGAGCGCATAATAACCTAGCATGCACCTTCGTGATGCCAAAACACATTTCCAGCCAGACTAGATCAAGTTCACAGGTTACAAAATAGTCAACTTGTGAAAAATGACTACAAAAGCGTGATTAGCAGCTAATAGAACCGATCCATCTAAAAACTTAAAAAAATGAAACTACAGGAACTCATCCACCTCGAGTTAGCATGTAACAAATTACGTGCAAGAAATTAGGCGAAGATGAAGGTAACAAGGCCGAGCATGACCTTTTCTAAAATGTCACGTTCAATGTCTTCAGGATTTGCAGACGTAACACCTAAATTGCTGAGCAAAACCCTATCTTCCTCCTCTTCTTCCATTGAACTCAATCATATATGCTTTCCCGAAAATGCCAACTGCAATTACAAAATTTGGCCTTCCATTATTCACAAGGCTTAAAGTCATTGAAATGCAGCTTTAGGGAGATCTCGAATAATCCTGCTCTATCATCACACCGGGTTTATAAAAGTAAAGGAAAGCCAAACATTCAGCCAACAAAATTTCCAAAAAGCACAGAGTAACGTCTATTATAGTGCAATGGTACTGAACCAGAAACTCACTAAATGTATTCCATGAACTAACAATAAGAACTGCATAATTAGCGAATAAACTTTAAATTTTTGAATAACGAGAAACAGAAATTACAAAAAGAAAAAAAAAGTCTCATAAGGTAACCCATCAACAAATTTCACTGCTTACACCGATTTTCAATACAAAAAGTAACCGATATTTACATGCAAATATCCTCATCCATGGGAACACGATACACGGTTTAGGCATGTAATGGAATAGCGATTGGAATAAATAATTAGAATTTTGGTGAATGCATTTTAGGTTTTTAATCAAGTATCAAATTTTGAGGGGATTCAGCTTTACCAAAAATCGATCAATCCACAAGAGAAACCCTAAAATTAATGACGACGAGATTTATGAAATCCTTTTTCGGTTTCTCTCTCCCCCTATCTACCTGGAACTCTGAATCATCAGTGTTCGATGTGGCGGTGGGTGTTTGATGTGGTCAGATTTGGACAATTTATAACTCTCTAAAAATATTTCTTTTCTTTTCTTGGAGGGTTGGGCAAGTAATAAGCCTAAGTTTGACAAATCTAAAAATTAACTTATAATTTACTTTTTGAAATTTAAATTTTATTATTGTTTATTTATTGTTTCAGTATTTATTTTTGTCACATTATAATTTTAGTAACTA